GGGGGGCGGGGGGGGGCGCTTGACTGGGTCGGTTGGTGGAGCCAGCGACCCTCGATCTCGGGGTTGTGAGTTCGAGCCCCACACTGGGTGTAGAGATGACTTCAAGATAAAATCTTTACAGTCTGACCTAGCATGCTGTGTGCAGGTGACCACTGGCAGTTGGTTAGTATCCTGCAAGGGAAGGATGAGTTTCGTGAGGGATGAGGCCAGATTACAGAGGATTTGTAAACTACGGGAAATTATCTAGAGCAACTGGGTGCCTTGTGAAAGCTGCGATCACGGAAGCATCCGCAGACGGGTGTAGATGTATCAGCGCTCAGGCCCCAGAGGGACAGAATGAGAGGCCCCACTTTCTAAGGTCCTGTTTCCCTTCTCAGGTCCATCCTTTCCCCTGTGACTGAGGTTGGAAACATCCAGTCCCTTCTGGGGAGGCAGTCTCCACACACGGGTGTGGTCTTATTTTAATTTTCTACAAGCCGATTTATCTGATCATGAGAGACCCTCGCTATAGCGAAAGATGAGTGTTGGGGGGGGGCCCTCTTCCCTTATGTCACCCCCATGTGACTGAGACCCTCTTGGGAGCCTCTGTTCCTTCCCATATCCAACTTGAAGTGGGGTTCACTTTTTGAGCCCCCTCTACACAATCCTTAAACCCACACAGCGGAGTACTATGCAGCTGTTAAAAAGAATAATGATTTCTGTACGCTGATAGGAAGTGATGGCCAGAACACGATTTTAAATCAAAAAGCTAGTTATAGAACACTATGCAGACAATGCTATTTTTTGTGTAAGAATGGGTGAACATTTGGGGCGCCTGGGCGGCTCAGTCGGTTGAGCATCTGACTCTTGATTTCGGCTCGGGTCATGATCTCGAAGTTTGTGAGTTCAAGCCCCACATCGGACCCCACACTGACAGCATGGGATTCTCTCTCTCCCTCTCTTTACCCTACCCTGCTCATGCTCTCTCTCTTTCTCAAAATGAATAAATAAAACTTAAAAAAAAAGCGGGTGAACATTTTATACATTACACCTCTATATTTATACTTTCAAATAGAAATGGTGAAAGGACCAAAACCAAATAAAAATCATTACTTGCAGAGGGATGGAAGGCACAGGCCCACCCCCAGTATTTGTGGGGCCAGGTCAGAGTACAAACGAAGGCTCACATATCGTATATCGAAATATTTGAGTTATTTGGAAGCTAACTATCAAATATGCTTTACCCTCTTACCTTGACAAATACACTTTCTAATGACAAAATTAAAAAATAGGTAAAGCTGTGGTTTTTGTATGACTTAAAGTCAAGAAAATATTCAAGGTAAACTAACTTAAGGTTTTTTGTCTTTTTTTTTTTT